TCGGAAATAGCAACAGTGCTATTGTGGCGATCTCAGAGTATTCAGCCATAACTTTGATCCAGTAGTTTCGAACGTACTTTTAAGGCCGCCGTCATTTGCGATCTCCAAGCAGCTTTTTTACTCATTTTGCGGGCTTCAGCGTTTTGTTTATGAGCGTCATCGGTCACCTGACCGAGAAGTGTGCCTTGACGTGAGTCAAGCGTGACACAGACGGATGTAACAGAGAATCCGGTAATTTTTCAAAATAAAACATATTTCGTATTCCGAAATAAATAAAACGGAAATAAGGCAAGTTCTTTCTGTGCGGCCCGGTACCAAATGCCCTGCGGACCGGTACCGGTCCGCGGACCGGCGGTTGGGGACCCCTGGTTTAGTGGATAAGTGGTTGGTGTTTGAAATAATCCAGCATCACGGAACTCATCGTGATTGATTTTGGCAGTTTCCTTGTATTTTCATTGAAAAAAAACCCACATCGCCCTATATGTGACCTATTGCACAATATGCTTGCATAGTGTGAATGTTGCTCTTATTAAATAGAGTGGCCTACAGTGCCAGGAATCTTGGCAGCTCCTCAGCAGATGGCCTGGTAATAATGTCTCTTGTCATCTCTTCCTCGGCCACTCTGTCCTGCCCCCCACCATAGACCCCCACTATGCTGCCCCATGACTAATGATTTCCTGTTTGTCATCGAAACACAATCATCAGAGCAACGGGCACGCCTGCCGTATTCTGCTCCTTCTTTCTTCGGAACAATTTAGGACCATTCCCACTGGTGGGAGCAGCCAGTTGGACTGAGCGCTTGTTTATAAAACACTTTAATTAAAGACACAGGACGCCAATGGAAGGCACAGTTTGGACTGTTAGTTGCATAACCTTTGGATGAAGACTCTTTGGGTTCTCAGTTTGGAGATGGACCTTAAGATTCAATACTAGCTCAAAGGACGTGAATATATACATACCACTTACTTTAATTAAGGGGTCTCATTATTAAAGGTCTTAGTATAGCTTTATGTTTGATTTTTTATTATTTTTTTTGGTCATGTCTGAAACACACTCAGCTCAATGCTCGGCTCAGTTGCCCTTGAGAGGCTATTTTTCATCCAGTCGAATCAATGCAGGATTTTTTTTTTAGCTCACATTACCCCTGTTTGTTGTTTGTAAAAGTGATCTTCAACCCAATTTTCAACACGTTATTAGCATTGATTTAAAGGGGAAGTCAACACCAAATTTGTTCTATGAGAACATGTTCTCTGCAACCCCAACAGACTAAACACGGATTAATATTGCGTATGAGGAATATGACGTAAAATCCCCCCTTTTTTGTCCATCTCATTTTGCCACTGATTGCCAACTGAAATGACATCACAGTTGCTCAGGGCTCAGGAAATGACCAGTCATGGTTCAGCTTCAGAAACCAGGTGGCATAAAATTCCAAGTTAATGATTATTTGCTTAATCAGTAAAGTTTACCAGTTTGATCATTAAACATCTTACATTTGTAGTGTAATCAATTAAACAAAGCTTGAACAAGATTTTCAAGCATTGTATTATGATTTTATTTATTCATTTTTTGTATGAGTTTAAGACACTTGTTGTAGTTTTACAGACATTTTTGTCCTGACTAAATTTAAACTACAATGTTGACAGTTCTTGTTGTAAAGTTGGCCACGGAGATCATAAATTTGTGAAGTGGGCACCTGGGGCCTTCCACCCGTATCACATGGGTCCGTGTCCGTGTCAGTCAGTCATGGGCCCTTGGAATCAAGTTATTTTTCCTCCACTTCCCCCTGTCATTGTAATTCAATAATTTTGGATACAGCTAACATATTTTTACTTCAAGGACGATGCGTGATGACCACAAGGAATGTGGGATGTAAAATACAGTATGCCAACCAAAATAATTTTGACTGGGAATAGACCCTAGCTAATTTATAGTTTTCATGCTTTTAATAGCCAATTCCCTTTCTACAAAAAAAAAACAAAAACAAAAAAAAACATGCTCAGATGACTTTCCTATAAATACTGTATCAGGTAAAAATGTTTTTATTCTTCAGGGAATGAACATCATATTCTGGTATACACGAGGGGGAAAAAATCTGAATTTTTTTACCTTCTAAGTACTCCACCACCAGTTGTTTTGCACTTTGTTTCTCTATTTGGTGCATTAAGACACAGCAGGTTCTGCGGCAGCATTTTTCCACTAAAGAGCTCCCTGCTGGTTCTGAGAGTAAACATAAATGAAAGAAAAGGGGAACTAAGACACTTAAGTAGCAGGCTCAAAACATCCAAATGAGAAATTAGTTACATTATCAATTATTTCCTTGCTTGACAGAGCTCGATGTGGAACGTTTCTTCTCATCAGACTTGGGCACAAATACACGTCACGGTTGTCATAGCCTTGCCAGTCCATTAGTCCCCTTCATTCATCAAAATGCACACCTGGTATGAACATACCGTAGGTTCTTCTATTGCAGCCACTTGACTCAAAAAACAGCTTTATTCACGTCACATAATTATACTTTCCTACTGGTACGACATTGTCCAATCATACTAAAATCACGCTACAGATAATTGTTATGGATATTGAAAAACTTAATTCAATATGTGTGTATCAACCACAGCATTTGTTTTGGACTAAGAGTTATTGTTTGTGTTGTCCCACTCATTGCTGAGCATGTATGATGACCAAACGACGACAGTCCAGAAACATGCTTTATTTTTCCACACCACATTTTCACCACCCCGTGCCTGATAACCAATTCAGCATCTTCTTTCGCTCTTGAATCTGTCAAGCGGTCAATTATTTGATAAAAGTAATCCAGTCTGTCTTGCTTGAATCTCTGGTGTGTAATTACATTTGCAATAACCATTAGCTATTAGCATTCTCATGTGGAGATGAGCATAGTTAATGGTGATGAATAAATATGCTTCTGTGGGCACTGGTGGAATTAGCACACACGTGTTTTTCTTATCGGGTTCTGCTGAGTTAGATGGTTCCTCTTGGCTGGCGCAGAGAGTATGTTATCACCGAGGTCGGCAGGATCATTAGTCTCTGCTGTTGACTTCCACATCTAATCAGGAATCTTTGTGAATAAAGTCATCCTCAAGCATCCAGGTGTAGTTGCAGCGCGCCTGTCCTTTGCGTTCTGTTCTTGTTCTGTCGTGACTAATCTGTTTTGACACTGCTCTAGAGTAACAGCCCTGTAATGCTACGCTCAATCGATGCCTGGTGACTTTGCCTCTCTTAGGTCATTTGCTTGGTAATGAGAGACGGTGCGCAAGACGGTCTCTGCTCGCTCAGAAGACGTTAAGTTTTCACTTGGGCTGCAAGAGAATTGGGCTGGTAATTAATTAAATATGAAATTCAAAGCTTTTCATCTCAGAGGTTAATATGGGGAATAGCAAGCCATCACCTTACTTTGCTGTCAGTTATTGCACTTTCCCACGAACATAATGCTGACCGGTGCACAGCTGCTGCTTTTGTGCAAAACCCATGTATTCTGTCATGTGTGAGGTTTTATTCTCTGTTGTATCTTTGAAGCCATCTGTGTCAATCAGTGCGTGATCTACAATAAATGGCCCACCATGTCAACAGCCCGCATGAGAGTGCTTGTCAGTGAGCAAGATAAGGTCGATTAAGCCATTTTAAGTACCATAAAGGAAGTGCTGTCTCGATATTGATGACATTTATGACTGGCCAAGGGTAGTTATAAAGGTGCTCAATACCAAAAGGAAAAAAGGACTTCCTTAGAGGAGACTCAAATCAGGGATGAACATTATGGGAAAAAAAAAAAAATCACTTGACCTTGGCCTGGAAGTGATAAAGACCAAGATAATGTATATACATATTTATATATTTGTATGTATTTTATGTACATTTATATCCAATCCTAATGTGTCACTCGTCAACACCTAATTCGGCCGAGAACTGGGCTCAGTGATTGTGACATGAACTTCAGCAATAGCCAATCAAGCAGCACCCTGAATCGTGTTTAACACAGAATGTTTGGTTGCGTGGAGTCTCTGCATAACATGTCTCACAAGTTATTTGCCAAAATAAAAATGTCAAAGAATAAAGTCGGCAGCCGCAATGTAGTTACTCGATAAGCACACCAGTTAGCTTGTCCTATTTTCTTCTTCTGCTAGTACTCTTTCTTCTTTGTAGTCTAGTTACCCTAAAGCGCCGTTCTGCCTCTCACAGGTGTACTACATTTCGAGTACACCGGTAACAACAATAAGCGCAGTAACATATGAAAAATCTTTTGCTATGCATACCCCTTCACATGTAGACAAATTAGCAATGTACTGGAATTTTAGATGACAAGGACTATTTCTGCACTCAAACATCTGCCACATAGAGGTTAACCTGAGAGCCGGACCTGTGACACTTGGGAATGAAAAGCACGCCTCTCTGCCTCTGCTTGAACACTTAAAGTAATTGACTAGGAAATCAGATGATAGTAGGGAGCCATACTTTAAAACTGGGGGAAAATAAGCTTAGCTAAGACATTTAACAGGCATTATTGTCTCCTCATTTTGATCCTCTGTCCTTGAATTGTGCTTTTCCACCAACAGTATAAGCATGCATTAGGTAGCCTAGTAGTCATTTGTCATAAATTGAAGAAGAGCTGAAAAGGACTAAGAAGTGACATCGGATTAACAGGAAAAACATGAACATAAATCTAAATTTGGTGGGGGCTCAGAAATTGAATGTCGAATAAATTAGCACATGAATGTATAGTGGATATAAATGCCAAATGAACCATGAAAATAATCCAGATTTTAACATGAATTGTCTTCGAAAAACCTGTGCACTTACCACAATACCAAAAAGCCAAACATTGTTTACAATTTGTACAGAACAACAACCTTGGTGACAACATACTCCGACATACGGTACTAACTTCTCTTTGTACAAACGGGGCCATGTCCTACATAGGTGCCTCATTACAATCCAATCCTATGTCTCATAATGTGGATTTTTCTCTTCTGTCCCAACAGGTTTTGGAATGACAACACCTGTGACAGTTGCAGGCAAAGTGTTCTTGATCTTCTATGGGCTCCTGGGCTGCGCTGCCACCATCCTCTTCTTTAATCTCTTTTTGGAGCGTATCATCACACTGCTCGCCGTTGTCATGAAAGCTGTGAGGGAAAGGCGAATCAGAAACAGCGGCCTCCTCCCACCGGGGGTTCAGCGGGACTTCTCGGCTTTCTGTCTCCCCGGGTGGAAACCCTCGGTTTACCATGTAATGCTGATTCTAGGCCTATCAGCTATCACCATCTCCTGCTGTGCTTCGGCAATGTATACCCCCGTGGAGGGCTGGACCTACTTAGATTCACTGTACTTCTGCTTCGTGACCTTCAGTACCATCGGCTTTGGGGACTTTGTTAGCAGTCAAACAGTAGCTTATGAATACCAAGGCCTCTACCGGGTGGCCAACTTCCTCTTCATGTTAACAGGAGTGTGCTGCATCTACTCGCTCTTCAATGTCATCTCCATTGTTATCAAGCAGGTGCTCAACTGGATGCTGGAGAAGATGAGCTGCTTGTTTTGCCAGCGTTGCAATAAAGCCAGCACCTTCCTGGGTAGACGTAATGCCATCCGGCCGGGTTCCAAGGGTCGCCATCCGCCATACATGGAAGGACCGTGTGACAGTGACACTGAGGGACGCAGAATGTCTGGGGAGATGATATCGATGAAAGACTTGGCTGCTTCCAACAAGGTGTCGCTGGCCATCATGCAGAAGCAGCTTTCTGAGTCAGCCAACGGGTATCCCAGGACAGTGTGCGGCACCTCACGCCACAACGGTTTCTCTGGGGGAGTGGGTGCCTTGGGCATCATGAACAACAGACTGGCAGAAACCAGTAACTCCAGGTAGAGGATTACCAAGACACTGTGAGAGCACATGTGGTTGAAGAAACCCTGTTTGGAAGTCAACAGGTTAAAAGCCAAACCCACGGGACTGTTTGGATTAATGTGGTTTGAATTTCCACTGTGACGACAGGGATCCTTGACTAGTAAATGTTGATGCCATAAAGAGACATCAAGCAGCAGGGTAAATTACTCCGGACAAGTGACAACCACCAAACACGCAAAATGGGATCTGCACGCTCTGTCCATGGGAATGACACATAATAGGGCCAAGGGAAGCATATGGAGCAATGTCGGATGTCTGTTTGTATGTATATACGAATGTCCATAATCAGTGATGATACTAACATTTAAGACGCAGTATAATAACTGGATGTTACGGCCCATACCAATCTATGCATTATACATCTCATGCATCATTTTTTGCACCATGTCTATACTTTCTCTTGACTTGACGTGTTATCTTGATGTAAGAGTGGCAGAAAAGGAATTTATAAGCATGATGTAGCAGATTTGTTGGGGCTGCACTGGGAGGAGTTTCCACCAAAAGGCATCAAAGAGACATCGTGCTTTTCTCTCTTGCTCGCAGTGGAGAAAAGACCGCGGTTTACAGAACGAAAGTCCATTTCTCAAGAGAGTCACCGGCCTTCTTATCAGCTCTAAACACGCTTCTGTGGCCAAAGACTTTGACTTCAAGGGTAAGAGAGGTACCTTCCAACGTTCCCTCTCTTCGCTAACAGCTGTGTGTGGAAAGGAAAACAAATGTTCAAGACTTGCAATGTATGAAACACTCTTGTACCGAGGAAATGTACATGTGAAAAAAAACCAACAACAAAAAAATAACCCAATAAATGAGATGTAAGTTTTTGTTTGTGGGAAGGCGATGTGAAGGAGGTAAGTGGGTTTCGACTGCAGGCACATTATATGCTGAATGATGCACATTGAAGGAAGCTAGGCCAGTCTAAAGTGGGAAACAAAACCCTGAAGGATTCACTCAGTCGCATTGATTTCTCCTTTTCTGGGTATTTGCTGCTTTCGTCAAGGGAGGTATCATTGCAGATTCATGTATCTCTTTCTCTCTCTCTCTCTTTCTCTCTCTCTCTCTCTCTCTCTCTCTCTCTCTCTCTCACTCTCTCTCTCGAAAACAAATGTGACCCAAAAGCCTGCAGAGCTTGATCTTCTTGCTGCTTTCAGTCTTAATGTGCTGGCGAGGATTAATGGCTCAGGATGTTTGGAGAGTATATTGTGCCACCTTGTCAGACTTCCCGATCAATGTCCTTATTGCCGGCGAGTGTCTTCTCCGAGGCATCCGTGATTTAAAGCTGCACGATTATGTTTGATGTCCGCATACAGACACAAAGGAGGTTTACAGAAAAGGGGTGGCGGGCACTGGCAGCAGGGGCAATAAAAGATTCCTGTCAGGTCCAGATTCATGCCACTGCAAATCAATAGCCACAGGCTCGGTCTTTCCTGGCAGATTTGAGTTCTGGAAAATCCCGAGCCACATGGATCACACATAGCACCATAGCTTCATGTTTCCTTGGCTTACCTTTCCGCTCATGATCATCTGCCTCATTGTCAACACAAGAGTAAATAAGCACATTTCACAACCTCATCAGATTAACATAGACATCAGCGTGTAAATATTTTTTTTTTTTACATTTATGTCGGATGTACAGTCTCACACTTTGATATTACAGCATAAACACAGGTAGAAAATTGGGTCCACATTTATGTTTTGACAGAAATATGCAATGTGGAACCGTTCTGGTCAATGTTAGAATACGTTTTCCAGACGAAATATTTCAAATTGAATAAACGTAATAAAAGTTCAAACTGTCACCATTAATAAAAAATTAAAAAAAAACATATTAATATCATTTACATATTGTAACATGGGCTGCCACAGAGGTGCAGGGTTTCATTCCAATTCCGACCTTCCTCTGTTGAGTTTGCATGCCCCCGTGCCTGTCTGGGTTTTCTCCATCTACTCTGGTTTCCTCCCACATTCCCAACATGCATGGCAGGTTGATTGGGCACTCCAAATTGTTGAATGATTGCTTGTCTATGTGTGCCCTGCGATCGGCTGACAACCGGTTCAGAGTGTACCCCGCCTCCTGCCCAGAGATAGCTGGGATAGGCTCCAGCACACCCGTGCCCCTTGTGAGGCTAAGCGGATTTGAAAATGGATGAATGGATGGATAGGGTAACATGCCATATTTCTCGGGAAGCTTTTTGCATTCTTATAGGTCAAGTATAAGCCAGCTACTGTGAACAAAACAATCGCAAAATAAATAACTCTTTCACCCTTTACTTTGATGATGAGTGACAGATGTGGTCATGAAGTGCATATGGAGCATATGGAAAGGTGGTGAGTCTCTTCATATGAATTCTCAACACGCCTTCCTCTACGGTCCGTATGAAGATCCTCCTTATATAATTTTGATTTCAACTTAATATTAGTCGTAACCAGGCCAGATATGAGTGTAGGCTGTCGCTTTCTCAATACATTTCATTTCTAGTTCATCACGTTTTTTTCTCCTCTTTGCTGTCGCTGGTTCCATATTTTGGGTATTTGAGAAGCTTCACTGTGCACAGACTTTGACTTTATTAGTCATTATTAAATGGAAGAATTTCAGCAAATGACTCAGGTGGTAAAATCTTCATGCTGTCATGATAAGGCCAAACAATACGTGCAGTATAAATGAGAAAGACTTTTTAGATAGACAGTATTTTTATACTTGTCCCATTTAACAAAAACAAAATTCCTTGCCGTGGGGTGTTCTTTACATTTGGCGCACAGACAAGACGCAGCTTTATGAATACAGGATATACTACAACCTCTAGCCCTAAAAGCCTTTGTCATTTACATGGCAAACAAAAATAACTTTGCTTGAATTGTGATTTTTAGAATTGAATCACCAAAACTGAGGCTGAATGTAAGATAAATATCTACAGACACAAGTTTAGATTTGGCCATCATCCCCATAGAAAGAAAATAAGCACATTCTACAAAATGTTCGGATTTCCAAACAACCCTCATAAACTGTGGCATGCGCTGTATATTTGAGGATACAGTACATGCTGTTGGGGATGCTGGCTGTCATATTTTTATTGATGCACCTCTGACAGCTGTGACCTTGCAGATAGAAAAATAGTGTACCCTGGAGGCATTTAAGTAGGAATATTGGCATCGTGTAGCTACCGTGTTCTCCTTCATAGTCCTGAAAGAGTCCCTATTATATTCTGTAAGACAACCTTGTTTCTCCCAATGAGGCTGAAGCCTGCAGGGCCATAGGTTTGGTGATTACAAGGTCTCCGCAGAGCTTTTGAATTCAGCCTGTCATTAACCTTCAGCAAGACGCATGAGTGTAAATATGGCTGGAAGGGGGAATTGAAGTACAGTGCTGTGAAACAATGGAATTCTTTCCCCAACCTCAAGTCTCCAACATGTCATTTGATTCAATAAACCACATGACGCTTTTTAGACCTACAATATAACAATAGTGATAACTTTTCAGCTCATATAAGGATGCACGCATGTAGTGTAATCAACTGCCTTAGTCCATGCATTAAAAAAATGGATTCAGCTTTCACATATGTTGCAATATACACCATTTTGTATTTTCCAAAATGTATCCCGGGTTGATTTACGGGCCCAGTTGTCCTCCATCTGTGGGAGGAGACAGATCGAGCTAATTTGTGAGATGTTGCTAAAATGCAACTTTTTGTATTACTAGCTGCGAACAATTACCCCTCACCTTCTTACCCAAAATTCACCTTAAAGGACGCAACGACGAGTTCCACTGTACATGATAAAAAGTGAACACTGCGAGCTTGCATTGCTGCACCGTTTGATTCCTGGGTCTCTTGTTACCATAAATTGTTCAGATCAACCCTCTGTTTCTCTTCCACTCAAGATGTACGACACAGAAGTCTTCTCACAAGGGAAACAGCACTTTAACATATTAGAAATAAAGCCAACCCCAAATCAGAAAGGAGTCGAATCTGCAGTAAAGTACTCGTCTTGAACGTGGTCTACATTTTGATTAATTCAATAAAAATGCCATTTCTTGATGATCACAGTATGATGCATGGCCTTGTGCAAAGACTCTTGCATGTTCTTGGTTCAGGATTCATTGAAGCACTTTGAAAGCAGCAGGCAGGGAAACATCTCAGTAACAGAATGACGTATTGCGTGCTTGCTTGGTTGCCTCTGACGTATGACTGTGATTTCAGCATTAGCTTTTGACCCGGAATTTGATTTCCAGCTGAAAGCAAGAACCTCTCTGTTTCGACTAATGGTACGAGGCCAATGAAAACATCCTGTAGAGATTCTTCCGGTTAAATGTGTGTGTGATCCATCGATTTGTTGACACCTCATCTCATGTCACTTGCAATGTGGCGCAACATCCAGTTTATGTATGAAAATGAAATATGTTTGTAAGTTGCACATTTATACCAATGATTGTAATTTTATATTTATGCAATTAAAAGTAAGACCTATGCTATTGGGTTTCATCAAGCATTGCTACCCAGTGAGGTTTCTTTGATTATCCATTTAATTGGGGATCTTGAGCAACACATCCATAAAACATTTTATGGGATGCCCCAAAAAAATGTAAAAATAAAATCTAACCTCTAAAAAGTACACATTAATGGCCAGTCATCATTAATTTGCATGAACAGAATGTCTTGCAAGACACACAGTGAGCATTCATCATATTTTGGCTTAATAGCACCAAACAATGGAGTTTGGCTGCATCTTTACAGTGCTTGCTCTTCTGCCAACTCCATTTGCATCATATACTTTGAAATTCAGTGATGTCATTATGCCAGGCGTGTAATTTATGGTTTAACGGTATCACACTGTGGTGCAATTTGCTGTAGAGCTGTACAACAGCTACTCGCCATATGTTGTCTTATAGTTTTTAATTTACATTGAGAACAAAAAGTATGCTGAAGGTGAAACAGCTTTGGGTCGATTCTTCAGCAATGGGCCAGTTAGAATTTTAGTCATAAAGAGGGGATCTGTAGTTGCATTTATTAAGAAAATCAGTCTAATCTGAGCAAATAATGTGGACGAGCATACATTATCATAATGCTGGGTGGTGTTAAAAGGAGTCTGCATATGAAGTGTCCCACAATGTCACTGTGGTCATCCAAGAGGATTGTTGCTCTCTGACGTTTTCCTGTAATATCATTTTCCAGAACCTGATTATGAAGATTTTTTTTTCTGTACTACCAAAAATTGTTCTTGGTTAAAGAGATGAGCTACGAAAAAAACAAAAACAAAAAAAAAAAATATATATATATATATGTCTCTCGATGGCCAAAATGCAAACACAGGTTTTTGCGATTGGCGGATTTCATCTCGACAAGTAGCATTCAGATAGATAGATAGATAGATAGATAGATAGATAGATAGATAGATAGATAGATAGATAGATAGATAGATAGATAGATAGATAGATAGATAGATATAGATATATGGGCTCACAGTAAAGTAGTTTCTGTGATGATCTTATCCAAAAGCAGGCAAAAGTGTTTCGTTTGTGCTCGCGCTCATGTAAGAGCAATATGACTACACCATTACTCTTCGCACTGCGTTGCTGCATTGCCACTGCTGGTTTTGCTCCACTGCTTGTATTGCTTTCTTGGATGCAGAGGAGTTCGCCAAATTGTACTGAAATGTACCACACATTCATGAGTAGTCTGTAATACATCTTCATTTTAAGATTGTCGCAAGTGATTAGGACACCAAGCTGTTAAGAATCATCTTCTCTTAATAAAAGCTTGTCAAGCTGAACAGATTGGTCCAAGCATTACAGCACTTAAATTGGCTTTGGGGTCTCTGGAAGAGTCATTATAAAAACGCCTGTTGCAGAGCAATGTGGGCTCCATTTTTTACACATTAATTTGACACTCTGCTGTCTGATTTGGACCAACAGAGAAGAGTGGACAAAGTAGACTTGTCAATTTTCCTCCGACAGAAGTCTGAGCAGAGGTAGGGTGGTGGTGTCAGTGTAGCCCCTTTCATCCTGCTATACAATGTAATACAATACATATTTATATGGCACTTTCACAAAAGCTGCAACAGTAACAAAATGCTTTACAGAACATTTAATGTAACATAACAATAATACAACATAATGCACAACGCTACAGAACATGTTGACAATAATACAATTGTAACAACTATTCCTACATATGCCTGATGACTTCATAGTGGTCTGTCGAAAGTGTTCTGTGGTCTGACGAATCCACATTTCGCCATTTTTTTGGAAGTCATGGGCGTTGTGTCAGTCTGGTCAAAGAGAAAATCGACCATCCATATTGTTATCAGTGCAATGCTCAAAATCCAGCATCTATGATGACATGGGGTTGTGTTAGTGCCCATGGCATGGGTAATTTGCACATCTGTGGAGGGCATCATTAATACGTAAAGGTACATTCAGGGTTTGAGGTAACATATGCTACCATCTAAGCAACATCTTTTCAGGGACATCCCTGCCTATTTTACCAAGCCACACTCTGCATATGTTCCAACAGCATGGCTTTGTCGTAAAAGCGTGTGAGTACCTGACTGGCTTGCCAGCCGTCAAGACCTTTCTCCCATTGAAAATGTGTGCCACATTATGAAGCACAAAATTTGACAACTGAGACCCCAGACAGTTCAACAATTACAATTCTGCCACAAGCACGAATTGAAAAGAATTCCACCTACTAAAACCAGTTCGTGTCCTCAGTTCCGCTTATTGAGTGTTGTTAAAATGAAAGTTGATGGAACGTAGTGTTAATTATAACTCTGTCCCAGCTTTTTTGGGAATGTGTTGCAGACATCAAAATCTAAATGATTGAATGACGAATGATCGATCACTTTATTCTGTTTTTTTTATATATTATCACAACATCATAAATTCTTTGATATTGGAGATTGTACATTTGTACTTGTCTGACAGTTAAGAGTGGTCAAATCTTACTTCAAGCGTTTAACTGCCTGTACAGCTAATAAAGGTTTTAGGGCGGTGACAGTTTGCTGGTGAAACAGTTGAATCCCGAGCACAATTGATGTCTATGGAAAAAAAAAATAGGTGAAATTAGAGGAAATTGAGAATGAACCAGCGATACAGAACAGATTGCATTCACCAGTTCTACTGAAGTGTCGATGGGACCTGGTGAGAGTGCATACAGTACGCAAGTTCAAGTGAAAACGTGAAGTCGTGGAAACATTTACATGTAAACGGACTCAGCAGCCAGAGAGTAATGAGCCAATTACCTTATGACATCTGCTCTTTCAATTACCAAGGGGATAGATAGGGAGAAGAGAGGGGTTAATAGATAAGGGAAACTCACCAATTCAGCAAATGAAGTACATTATGATCTCTTCCTCCGATCAGCATACAGAGGTGTTTATTATTGCATAAATTCTTCAGTGACAGCCAGCTTCCAATGCAATAAAACCTCTGAGCAGTTTGCATCAGATAAAATCAAATGAATACTGATCAGGCTGGAGAGGAAAAGCTTTCAGCTTTGGACACCTTCCTCACTCACATGAAATGGAGAAATTGACAAAAATTCAATTGGCTTGTCGTTATCTCTGCCAAACAACCACTAAAGTCTTAACAAAGTGTGCATTAAAAGCATGCCTCTGGTAGATTGCTGTGGAAAATCTTCAATACATTGGTGCAATATGCTCGCATTTTCCTGCTTTGTATGTGGGGGTGGCAAATGTTTTTTGCCCAGCACTCTGCAGCAAAATGTATTTCCATATGTGTTAAATTGCCCATTCAGCACTGCGGAGAAGAAGATGGTATATAGCATTGCTTATTTTAATACGCCTCTTAATCTTGATCTATATCTACTAGAAGGAGCGGTTTTTCTGCTGATGTCTTATCTGCTGACTATACTGTAGCCTCACCATTAGTAATTGTTTCCACTTTGGCATGAGATTGATGTGACTGAACCTTCGTCACATATGCTTATGTCAAGTTCAGCTGGAAAATTGGAAAATGATTGGCGGCAAGAATGTCATGATGTCAGAAATAGCACGGGTTAACAAATTGACCTGGATTGATCAATTTATTAATTTGCAGGTTTGCCCAAGTACATTTTAGGGGACTAAATTAATACAGCAGGACCACAGAATTACTCATACATACATAGAGTAAATATTGCGCTTTTAGAAGAATGTTGCAGTCATTAAAGTCTGTGCTCTGGGCCGCAGCTAATCTCACATAGCATTCTATTAAGATAAGAAACTATTGTGTTGTTTTTATATATACCGGAACTGCTTATAAACAGCTGAATTATCAGTGTTTTCAGTCTGCATAGCGGCATAAAATTAATTAGGAGTCCTTGTTTTATGTGACATATGGCAATCAATTAATGTTTACACATCCCTTGAAAGCAATGAGATAGTAAGACGTGTCTTCTCAAAGAGAAATGGTACCAAAGGCAGCTTCAAGAAACAACTTCCACATAAGGTTCCATAATCCTTTCTTAATTAGACGCTTTTCATCACCCACACAAACCACATGCCAAAAATTCAGATGTGGGCGGACACTTGGGTGTTTTGCCTTGTCAAATGTATGTCACTTTTTGCAAACAAAGTGAGAATAATATCATATTAGGTTCTTGTTGTCCGGGGCAAGCAAAGGGGTGGTGTAAAGGGATGCAACTGTCCCTCCGGGAAATTCAGATGAAGGTGGTTTAGGAGCAGAAGAAGGCCAAGTATGCTGACCTGGTGTCAGAGGAAGGGATGGAAAACTAGCTGCAAGCTCAGAAGTAGGTGGTGGGGACTTCACAGGCCAATGTCTACATCGGGTCTGAGAATCTTCAGACAGTTCGGGGCCAGCTGTATCACCTGCGTGAGAGTGTCTGATGTGAGACCCGAAAACAACCTGTGACCCAGTTAACATCACAGATGTGTCCAGGTTCCACCACAAAGTATATCTCTGTACCATTGCATACTTATGAGGATAACAGACAAGTCCTGAAAACAATCCAAAATTTATGGTTTAATAATGTAATTCGGAATGCGCAAGGATTTTTTTGCCTCGACTGGTTTTAAATCATATACTGTAGTTGTGGTTACAGTGATTATGCAAAGGGAAACGCGAGACAGATTATGCTCTTTGTTGAAACTATTTTTCTCAAACTGCAACAGATTTTTTTTGTGTACTGTATTGTTATTATTATGCCGCCCTCTTCTGGATGTCTATTATAAGCACAGTTGAGGCACAGTTCCGGGCATACGATACTTAAAAGTATGTCTTTATTTTATTGTCCTCGTTATTTAAAGTTTTTTTTTAACTGATTTTACACATGTTCAGTAACCCATGCAAGTACAGATGTCATAGTAAAGGGGTGTCCAGTGCTGCACCTCCTGAGTTGTGAAGGCGGGTACAATAACTTGCTCCTAGGCACCTCGACAGCAGTCAGGGAGCAAACCAGGGCCTCTCCAACATCTAGGGGCACTGTGTAACTCAAACGTTCACATTCACGGTTCCAAAGCGCAAGTCTACATTGATGAGCTACTTTAAGCTGAAATTTCGATTAATTTGAAGGAACCTTCCATTTTCATTTAGAAAATACATTACATTAGTACAGCTTTATGAAAGAAACAAAAGGGACTCATCTGCCAACTGCGTGTAAATGACGACTGAAATGTCTCTCTGTTTAATATAATGCTTTTGTCGTGGTTTTGATATTTCTAGGTGGAAAATTATTTTGTTGACTTTCTTTTCCAGACGTCAGATGACAGACGCCATGCTTGCAATTTGCATTTGTGACCACTTTTGTCAAACCAGGCGCTCTTCCTGGTTCCGAGTTTAAGACCACGTCATTTCTGGGTGACCGTGATGTTTGGACCACGTGACATCCGAGTTCCCCAGTTCTCGTTTGTCATTGGATGACAATGGTTGTAGCCGCGCCTTCCTCTTGACGCGCGTGTGTTTCCCCGCGAACACGGGCTGCTCGTGCTGCGTGTTCATGGCGTAGGGAGCTGAACTTAGCAACAGCTAAATTTGTAACTTGTCACGGTGGAGGTTCTTCATGGCGAAGCAAAGCTCACTTCTCAATTTCTTCTCAAAGTCTCCGCCGCCGGTGTCCAAACCGAAGCCCAGTGCACACCCGGTAGAGGCCGATTTGCCGTCCTCCATCGACAAGTCCAATTCGTCTCCTAAAGAAGAAGCTAAACTACCCCCGAGCAAGGCCACCAAAGTCAAATCAAAAAGTGTCGTTAAGAATGCGAAAGGAGGATTCAACAAACTATTCGGCGACAAGGCGTCAACACCAAAAGACGCGTGAGTTAATCTTGCTATTCTTTATTGGCTCTGCCTAATTCCTGGATAATTTGTGCACAAACTGTATTTAGCCCCCCCCCCGCCCCCTTGCTATAGTTGCTAATGAATGGTGTAAGTGATGTAAAATAACGTTCCTTGACATTCAAGTAATAGATTAGAAACAAATGCAAAGATTATGTATTTCTCCAGTTTGAATGCTAAATGACCAGAAGTCTGTTACCAATTTATCGTTTAAAAATAAAAAATAGCATCAACCACAATGTTGATATGTCTTACATTGTATGAGAGATGCCAAATAACAGGTTGATGGCATGGCTAAGGGGTATGTTTTATAATCATTCCCCCCCCCCCCGTCATGGTTATTGATGTATTTTTCAGGAATAAACGTCTGCAGTGAACCACACCGAATGACACACAAACGTCTGATTTGGCATTATTGTTGGATTTCATTTTTGCTTTCAGGAGCTTCACATGCTCATTCAGTGCTGGCTCTCTTGTTTGGACAAAGTTGGAGGGGCATCCATGGTGGCCATGCATGGTGGTACCTCAACCGCTGACTGGACAGCAGATGCGAGGCCGCGGTCGAGCCCAACGTTTACATGTCCATTTTTTTGATGAACCACCCACACGGGGATGGGTCAGCACCAAATACGTCCGAGAGTACCGAGGTTGGACATTTTTTAAATCTCCGTTTAAGTCCTCTAGCTAAACTTGCCAGCTGTCATTGATGTGAGTTGTTTTATCATTTGTGTTGCAGGCTCGGACAATAGTGACGCTAAAACCGGAGGGTTGTTTTTCAGTGGGAAGCCTGAAATCCACCATGCAATGGAACTTGCGGACAAAGTCTTGTTCGATAGCCCAGAAAAACGATTAAAAATGCCTCACTGCACAGATCCATCGGATGACGAAGAAGAAGAAGAAATGGAGGTGACGCAATCTTATTTAATTTGTTGTCCAATTGGATGTAAATAGGCTAACGGTAAAGTAACAACCATCCCATGCTTTCAATTTAATAATGTGTACTTTTTTAATTTATGTTATCAGCTCGATAAACCGACAATGATTGATGATGAGGTCAGCGATGAGGATCAAGAGAAGAATGAGGAAGTAAAATCATCCAGGGTCGGTCCACGTCCATCCCGGTCGAAGGGAAATAAAGCCAAGCGACGCCGCATCGTCGTGGCCTCAGATAGTGAGGGATCTGATGATGAATTTAAACCTGAGCAAGCCTCGAGCAGCAGCGAGGATGAAGAGGAAGAGGCTACGGTGAGCAGCGAGGTCGAAGAAGCAGAGAGCACACAAGAGTCTGAAGCGGAAAGCCCAGTTAAGCCTGTAAAACGTAAACGGTCCGTGGACAAGCCTGCATCAGCAAAGCCAAAGATAATCAGCACCCCTTCCAGTGCACCGAAAAGACCTCTAGCATCTCTATCTGTCAACACAAAATCTCGTTTGTCCGCCTTTTCAGCCCCTGACAGCTTTGAAAGCCAGGCTACTGGGTCAGGTACTGGTGGAGGATCCACAATTTGGGACCACGAGAAGCTGGAGTGGTTGCAGGATCACAAGAGGAAAGATGGCCAAAGGCGCAAAGTGACGGATGACGGGTATGATCCGACCACCCTGTATGTGCCGGAAGACTTCAACAACCGAAACACTCCTGGTATACGTCAGTGGTGGATGATCAAATCCCAGATGTTCGACACTGTTATTTTCTATAAGGTTGGGAAGTTCTACGAACTCTACCACATGGATGCCGTGATCGGAGTCAATGAGCTTGGATTGACTTTTATGAAAGGGACCTGGGCACACTCTGGCTTTCCAGAAATTGGGTTCGCGCGCTTCTCAGACGTACTGGTCCAGAAGGGCTACAAGGTGGCACGTGTGGAGCAGACCGAAACCCCAGAAATGATGGAAGCACGGTGTAAGACTCTGCTCAAACCCACCAAGTTTGACCGTGTTGTGAAAAGAGAAGTGTGCAGGATCATAACGCGAGGCACCCAAACCTACAGCGTGTTAGACGGTACCCCGACTGAGAGTCAGAGCAAGTTTTTGCTCAGTTTAAAGGAGAAACCCGAAGATGAAGGAAAGGGGGGTTGCTGCCGCACTTACGGAGTCTGCTTTGTCGATACCTCTGTTGGCTGCTTCCATGTTGGTCAGTTTCCAGACGACCGACACTGTTCACGTCTACGCACCCTGATAGCACACTTTGCGCCCGCTGAAGTGCTTTTCGAAAAGGGGAACCCATCCGTCGAAACGCGCAAAATACTTAAGGCTTCTCTCTCCTCGGCGCTGCAGGAGGGACTGAATGCAAGCACTCAATTCTGGGATGCTCAGAACACTCTGAAAAATCTTTCAGAGGAAGACTACTTTCGAGAGAGTGCGGGCAAGGACCAGGGGACAGGGAGAGGTTTTCTCCCAGCTGTTCTTAAAAAAATGACCTCCGAGAGTGATTCGCTCGGTCTTACCCCCAAGGATGGCTACGAGCTGGCACTCTCCTCATTGGGTGGATGCATCTTCTACTTGAAAAAGTGTCTCGTGGACCAGGAGCTCCTCTCCATGGCCAATTTTGAAGAATACACCCCTGTCGACGTTGAAATGGACAAAGCTGACGGACGGAAAAGTTTCTTTGCTCAGACTCGCCAGCGCATGGTCTTGGATGGAGTGACTCTGGCAAACCTTGAGATCTTTCAGAACGGTTCTGGAGGTACGGAAGGAACGCTGCTCGAGCGTCTGGACACCTGCTCCAGCCCCTTTGGAAAACGGCTGCTCAAGCAGTGGCTCTGTGCTCCTCTGTGTAACCCAACATCCATCAGGGATAGACTGGATGCGCTGGAAGACCTGATGGCTGCTCAAGCGCAAGTGTCCGAAGTTTCTGACCTGCTGAAGAAACTCCCAGATTTGGAGCGCCTCCTGAGTAAAATTCACAGCATTGGCACACCACTGAAGGGTCAGAACCACCCGGACAGCAGGGCGGTCCTCTATGAGGACGTCACCTACAGCAAGAGGAAAATAGCAGACTTTCTGTCTGCGCTCGAAGGTTTCCAAACGATGCAGGAGATTGTCAATGTCTTTGCATCAGTTACTGGCGACTTTCAGTCCAAATTACTTTGCCAAGTGGTCAGTCTTCAAAGTGACAGTGGCGGTCTCTTTCCTGACCTCTCGGCTGAACTCAAGCGCTGGGAGACGGCTTTCGACCACCAGAAAGCTCGTAACACCGGTGTCATTACTCCGAAGAAGGGCTTCGACCCAGAATATGACCAGGCCCTGGTCGGCATCCAAAATTGCAATCAAAAGCTACAGGATTATCTAGACCGACAGAAAAAGAGACTCGGTTGCAAGAACATGGCGTACTGGGGCACCGGGCGAAATCGCTTCCAAATGGAGGTGCCCGACAGCGTCTCTGAGAGGAATATTCCAGAGGAATATGAGGTGAAGTCCACAAAGAAAGGCTGCAAACGTTACGTGACGACGGAGTCTGATCAGCTGTTTTCCGAGTTACAAGGATTTGAGGAGAAGAGAGATGCTGCCCTGAAAGATTGCATGAGGAGGCTCTTCTACAACTTTGACAAGAACTACAGCAACTGGAAAACTGCGGTGGAGTGCATGGCTGTGCTTGGTATAAACATTTATTTGATTTCCACAGCATCGTTACAAGACACTGCACACAAGCAAAACAAATTCTGCTTCAAGCGGAAGTTAAGTCAAACCTTTTCTTGACAATAATGTGTTCTATGCGCCCCCCGCTAAGTCTAAACATGGCATTCTGACTAAATTTGCGGAATATGAATTAAGCAGCAAAATCTACCCCTTTTGTCCATCTTAGGGGGCAGCCATTTTCCCACTGGCTGTCGACTGAAAATGACATCACGGTTGCTCAGGGCTCAGACAACGACCAATCATATCACCCATCACAAATTAAGCTCATGCGTGAGGTTTGACTACAGTGATGAACTGAGTTTTGATTTTTAACTAATCTAAAAGTAATTTGTTTCCAGATGTTCTGCTGGCCTTATCACGCTACAGCCAGGGCGGAGGTGGACCAATGACTAGGCCGCAGGTTGTTCTCCCAGATGGCGATGAGCAAGTAGCACCCTTCCTCAAGCTCGCCGGTTCTCGTCACCCCTGTGTCACCAAGACGTTTTTTGGCGATGACTTCATCCCTAATGACATCTACATCGGCTGCCCCAGTGGCAGTGAGGACGGCGAAGAGCAAAAAAGTCATGCCTCCTGTGTCCTCGTCACAGGGCCCAATATGGGCGGAAAGTCCACACTCATGAGACAGGTGGGCCACTCGTGGCTGCACGCGGGAAATTATGTGACACTACGCTGTTTGATATCGACTTGTTGCATATGCTCTATCCACTTTTTGTCTCTTGATATCCATAGTTATGCCTCTCATTCAATTGTAATCCCTTGTCAAATGTGACTGGAGAATATAATTTTCATCTTCATACAAATTCAAGAAATAGATTAATGAATGTTTTGGTCTTATAGTTTATAATGCCAAAATAAAGGCAAATGCACCGCAAAGACATTTGAGAGAAAATTTATGTACTGTATCTAGCGGTACTTAAGTTATAGTTGTTAAATTGCAACTACTTTTAACTACGTTGCGTTGCCAAATTGAATTTGATTAATTGTTCAGCGCCAATGTTCTCGTGTAATGCAGGTGTTTTTCTGTGAATGTTGTTGCCTGACAGAATGACAAAAAGTATGCATCTGTCCTTTGCCGCAGTGCGGACTTGTGATTGTGCTCGCTCAGCTGGGTTGCTTCGTACCGGCTGAGAGTCTGCACTTCACGCCAGTCGATCGAATCTTCACTCGGCTCGGCGCTTCGGATCGTATCATGGCCGGTAAAGTTTCAAAACCAGGAGACATTTCTGCGCTTCCGCTGTCTGAGCTTCTATTAATCCCCTTGTCCGCTATAGGAGAAAGCACCTTCTTTGTTGAGTTGAGCGAGACTGCGTGTATTCTGCACCATGCCACCAAAGACTCACTTGTGCTTCTGGATGAATTGGGTACACATTCACTCGTCGTGATGCTTTAGTTTTTGCATGCGTTTGTGGAAGCATTCAGTTGTGAACTGTGAACAGGAAGGGGCACGGCCACATATGACGGCACAGCCATCGCCTGTGCTGTTGTGAAGGAACTTGCTGAAAATATCTGCTGTCGCACACTCTTCTCTACACACTACCACTCCCTGGTGGAAGACTACGCCAACAATCCAGCGGTGCGCCTCGGCCACATGGTGAGCATGTCATTTGTGACATTCACTTGTAATCTGTAGAGGGTCTTCGGTTGAATTTTTATGAATGAATTAGGCTATCACTAATCTACACTAAAACAGTAATTAAGCTGCAAATACTATGTTTGTATAAAAAAAACATGTTTAGCCCATAAATTGAAAACAAACAGTCTTACCGTGTGGCATTTGTAAGGTTGAAATGCCATAAATGTAGAGCATCATAAACTGAGGACAGATGTAAAAGAATTCTCCTTTGAATGTGATGTTGAAGGCTATTGTTTCCTGGTTGCTGCCCAAATGGAGCATGTAGAATAGTGTACATTTTCAGCAACTTGCATAAACAGTAAGAGCTTTGCAATGCATCTCATTCAGGCATGCATGGTGGAAAACGAGTGCGAGGATCCAAGCCAAGAAACCATCACATTCCTCTACAAGTTCATTTCTGGGGCGTGTCCCAAGAGCTATGGCTTCAACGCTGCTCGACTTGCCAGCCTGCCAGAAATGGTCATCCAGTCGGGGCACAGAAAGGCCAGAGAGTTTGAGAAGAGCACCATGAGCCGCAGACTCTTCAAGTAAGTTCTTAGTGTGATGTTTTGGGGGTTTTTTTTTCTTGAAGTTGTCGTTGCCCAGCTCACTGTGACAACTTCTCTACTCTTAACAGGAAGCTCTGCCAGTTTGCTGAAGACACCACGCAGGATAAGACCCATTTCAATGCACTTGTTCAGATGATCCAAGCCATGTAATTTGGAAACCTGTGTTAGGCATAGTTATGTCACACTACAATCCCGCACTCAATGTGCACGGTTATGCTTTGATCACATTTGCATCTGCAGTCATGTCACTTTTCTGACACTGTATTATTTTGAGACATAGCGCTCACACATATCAAACACACCACTTGACCCAGGTGCAGTGTGAAGGGCCTAGTTCTAGTGCATACTTTGTTTTGTACTGCAGGAGAAAATACTACTTACTGTGATCTAATAAAGTTTATTAAAAAAAACAAAAAGACAATGTTCACCTAGGAAATTAAACCCTTTTAATTCAAGCTAGTGCCTACATAACGGTTATTGAATACTTCACAATATATTAAGTCTAGATGTTATGATACATGCATACATTTCAGTCTGAATTAGAACCCACAATCACCAGTACACATGAAGTGGGGGAGGGATAATGAAATTATAGAGTGCTGTATGAAGATACTGGTCTTCAATGGAGTAAAAAGCCTACTAAGTTTTCCTGCAACACTGATAAATGTGGGGGGAAAAACTGAAAGGGATTTCACAAGACCTGGGGCTCAATTAAATGGAAACAATGAAGCAGTTAAACGACAAGGTGTAATAGTTGGGATTTTTGGGCATGTAAATGCCACGAGATTCATGGCAATAGCGGTCAACCAGCCATGTGTGGGTCAAGAGAAGAGAGCTGACTTGTTTGCTTTATGCATACGTTTATGCATTTTGAATACATTGGTGTGAAGAAAGAGAAGTCTTATGAAAGTCCATTTCAGTCTGTGTTGCAAATATGACAGCGTTGCAGGAGAAACTGCTTAGTGTTTCCCTCTCATTTCTCAGATCTCTTTCACAGAAAGAAGTTAGATACTGCGACATGAGTATAATTACAGCAATTCTGGGGTACAATAACAAACAAAAAAAAAACACATTTAATAAAATAAAAACATTCAAGTACAGTAAAATTTTTGCATGAAAATACAAAACTACACAAAAAGCATTAAAATCAAACAGTTGAGTTGGATGTTTGGGGGGGCGGAAGTGCTAGTTCATATATTCTCATACGGATGGTACGAGCAGCTCGGTCACCCAGCGATGGAAGCATTGTGGCCTTGAGGGTGATTTACTCCACCAAAACGTCTCTCTTTGCCAAGTTTCTACATGACCGCCCTTTTTTTCTTCTCCAATGTGGTGATCCACTCCCCCAGTTGTCATAGTCCCTCATTTGGGCAACCCGACATGCCCACAAACTCCCTCTGCATCATTTCAATTGATGTCACTTTTTTTTTTAATTATAAAATAAAGAAACAGAAAAGCTAGGCATATTTTATGTCCAAGTCTCTTTTTTTTTTCCATTGTAAATGCTCTGCAAGAGTCTATTTAAATTTCAGTTTCCTCTTCCTCCACTGCGGTCCCGAGCATCCATTACTGCTGAGGCGCGACTGGACTCATGATCTGGGGCTCAGTTGTGCTGCAGCGTATTGGACTCTATAGGAGGCGCAGAGTCGTAGAGGGTGTCTGTGTCGTGTGTCGGCTCTCCGGCTAATGTACAAGGATTTGACAGTGTCCCTGCCCCACAGTCACAGAAAAACCTATGAGTGATGAGATGGGGAAAAGGATGAAAATCACACTGACTGAATAGAGGGAAGCATTGTTTATCTATTCAATCTGAAAGCTGCTGTTTTAATACAAAGGGGTGCGTCTCAAAGAGTATTCAAGGTCCAAAATGTGTTGGGCGCACTGACCGATCGTGTCTGATGAACTCCACATCGTGTCCCTGGTGGCACTTTTTGATGCAGTTCACACAGATGGCGTTGCGGTCTGTTGTGTTACAGGTGTGGCACCTGTGGCGAGCCAAATGGGAGCCGTGAAAAGTCAACAAAACAAAAACAGCGAGTGACATTGTTATCTGGTTCTCTTAACATGAAATTACCTGTAAAAATCGTGCATTGGATAGCTGGTGTAACTTGAAATCTTGTACAGGCACTGACCTCTGCTCACAGCTTTTTCAATGGCATCTTGATTGTTCATTATTTTGTTATCTGCAGGACAACAAAAATTACAATTGTCATTTGATAACAGTTGGCCGAAAGTTTGTCAAGCTAGTACCTTTCATCGTAACGTTGACACCAGATGCAAGAAAAAGCCCTCCGAAGCGATTATTGAAGATCTGATTGCCCTCTAAAGTCGCTGTGGCATGATTGGTGATCTCGATACCTGGTGAAAACAAATGGGGTTCAGCTATACGTTGTCTTTTTTTAACGCTCTGTAATTACACTCAATTCTGGATTTCAGGTGAACTGACCTGCGGCAAAGCCGTCAAATATTCTATTTTTCCTCAAGACGGGGTGACTGTTGGTGCTGATGAGGACGCCTGCCTGGGCATTTCTGAAGATGTCATTTTCTTCAAGCAAACCTGAAGGAAGACACGAATGGCAATTTACATCCATTTTAAAATACCAAAGAAAGCTACTGTTATTCCACAATTATCTTTGTAAATGGAAAAGAAATTCCAGTAAGTACATTAAAAAAATAACTGACATCTAACCACAGCAACTTTGTGTCAAAAAAAATATTTTTATAATTATAATACATACATAAATAAAGCGAGAGTAGAATGAAACAGCAGCAGACTAAAACACATACATTATCTCACAACTGCAGCCTCCCAGTTGTTTTCAGTGAAATATGAGCCAGTCAAAAAATGAGAGCACCTGAAAACAACGACTCACAAGATTTGAAAGCCAATTTGACCAGCCTGGCAAATACGACTTTCATTTCTCTCCAGTCTGAGTTGTTTGTCTTCATGTAAACGTTCTGCTCTCCTTACTAAGAATATACCTCCATTGTGCCACAAAATACTGAGCGCAAAGCTAAACTGATACGAATGTTCCGTCCCTGAATGAACACCATGACAATTTCACTCTTTTCATGCATCTTTTCCTGTGCAATAAATTCACGGTGTGTGCGGGGGAGAGAGACTAAATAGGTGAATTTGTGAGTGGGCAGGGGTTTATCGTATTCAATAGTCCAACAACAGCGATTCATGTCAACATAGTTACCTCTTCCGCCATTAAATATGCAGATTCCGCCATCTCGCCCATCATGGATCTTATTCCTTCGCAGGGTTGGGTTGCTGTCTGTCTTAATCCACACTCCTGCCATTGCATTGTCAAAGATCTCATTGTCCTCGATAAAGCCCAGGCCTGCAAAACAAACCGTTTCAATTTCAAAGAAATTTGGGTCATCATACCATTAAAAAAATAAATAAAATAATAAGAATTAAAAAGATTAAGTCCACTACTCACCTGAGTTGTAAACCAAAATGCCACCATTCTGACCTCCCCATATTTTGTTCCGCCGGATTTTGGGATTGCTGCCAGTTCTAGTGATGGGAGAGAGGGCACAATTGGGACACAAGCTCACTTCGACAACAAATTTTAGGTCTGCGTGGACCAAAGTAATGTGAAACAATGATCCTCATACAAACCTTATTTGAACTCCAGAATACATGTGATTGTAAATGTCATTGTCTTCCAAAACACCATGGCCATTGTCATAAAAGTAGACCCCGACCTGTCCCAATGAAAGATGGTGATGAATCTGAATATTCTGATCAGACCATTTCATGTCTAGTTACCAGTACATTTTAACGGCTGAATAACTAAAAAAAAAAAAAGAAACCCTCTGTATGAATGTGGCAAATCCAGCACAAGCTTGTCCCTTTAAAACAACTCATGCCATTTACTGTGCCGTTGTGTTAATAAAAATAACAGCAGAGTTTATTCTATCAGCTGGTTTAGGTTTCTCACTTTGCCCTTGCTATGTGATGTCGGTATTCCCTGGACACTTAACAGGCACTCGCTAATAATGTGACGGCTAATTGGTTGCTTTGTTGGGTTCTTTGCTTGTATGGTTGGAAAATATTCAAATATGATGTGGGAGAGTTTTATTTCAGACATGCTATATGAATATAATTTAACACCAAATAAAAATGATTCAAGACAATATTCTGTGAGTTTGAAACTTTAAAGCCTTAATTATTTTTTTTCTCAAATCAAAGACTTTGGCCCAGTGGAAACCCAATGTAATACAGGTTGTAATCATACCTGCTTGCCGCTGTGTATCCTGTTCCTCCGCAGTACCGGCGTGCTGCCTGTTGTGACCCACACTCCAGCCAGCGTGTTGCTGTACACTTCATTCTCCTCGATGACACCTTGTCCCTTCTCATGCTGTGTGACGGGAAAAAAAAAAAAAGACAGGTGCCTCATTAAAAATTGCACATACATTTAAAAGATAAGAAATGTTCAAACTTAATGGATTTCATCTAAACTGCAATCTCACCACATAAATGCCACCATGCTGACCGTCGTGGATCTTATTGTGTCTGACAATAGGGCAACTATTTGTCCTGATCTGTATCCCAGCCAAGGCATTTCCATAGATGTCGTTTCCTTCAATGAGACCTCGGCCATCACCAAAAATATACACTCCACCTTGGTTGCCATTGAATATAGCATTTCCCCTGCATTGAAACAGCACATTTCAGCATAAAGGGCACAAGCAGATGCATACGTAAGCATTTTGACATTGGGGGGGGCATGCTGACCGTATTGTTGGGTCGCTGTTAGAGGTGATCCACACTCCGGCAAAGTTATTGGCATAGATTTTATTTTCAATGAACTGTCCGCGGCCCTTTTCATGCACGTAGATGCCCCCCGTCTGGCCATGATGGATCTCACAGCGCACCACTGTCGGATTGGCGTACGCCTTCACCTCAAACCCGGCGATGCGGTTCCTGTGGATGTTGCAGCTCTCAAAGTAACCCTGGAAACAGACCAGAAAAGGGATTTTGACAAACCACAGTGCCGTAATTGCAGGAAAACACTACTTACTGGGATTTGTTGTTTGAAAACTTACCATGCCGTGGTCGAATGTAAAAACGCCGACATCTCTGCCATGGTGAATGTGATTCCTTCTGATGATTGGGTTGCCATGGTTTTTCACCCAGATACCAGCCAGAGCATTGTTTGAGATCTCGTTGTCCTCATATATTCCCTGGAAAAACATGAAATACTTTTCTGAAATGTTCATTCTCAGACTTGTGTGAATGAAGGGGCATAGTACCTGGGCATGGTCGGTGATGTAAAGCCCAACATTTTCACAGTCACTGATGTTACAGTGCTTGATTGTGGGACAAGCACCCTGGCCACTAACGCACACCGCTGACCCCACTGGGGGAGAAAAAAAAAATACAGGATGAACATTTACGTAACGTACAGACACACTCTTGAAGCAGAGCAAAGTATTAGAA